TATGTATAGGTGATTAAAAGAAAGATGAATGTATGAGTAGAAGGAGCAAGAATAGTGCTTCAGTTCATCATCATCATCATCATCATCATCATCATCATCAACATGATCACAGACGTATTAATGATTCGATGTGGAGCTATTTGAGACGCGTGGCCCTTATTGCATATTGTCAAAATGGTAATGAAATTGAGTTTTTTTTTTATACTCTTTTTCAAATTAAAAAACAAAACATGGACACAATATAATCTTATTTATCAGATCAACGGACTCAAGATTTCAAAGACGAGACTGTAGATGGCAGCAGATAAAGATATGCAACAACCCTGTGTGAAGTAGATTATTAGGCCTATGTCCGTCTTTGATCTGAACTGAGATTTAAAAATAAAAATAAATCATTTATGCGCTTAGAAACATAACATTTAGCGCCTATAATATTATATATTTTATTATTATTATAAACGTTATATATTATTATCATAATGTGCTTGTTTGGAGAAAAAAAATAAACATAACTTTGGGCAGGGAGTTGTGAGGTTGTTTTAATGATAATGATTATCATAGAATAGAAGATATCAAAACATAACAAATAAAGCAAAGAACAAGAAAAACTTACGAGATAAAATATGAGCACCCGTTTTCAGGTGGTAACGACGATGAGAATGACGGTGAAGCAATTTAATTTTAAATGGTCCAATTTTGGTGCTATTATTAACTCACATAGTTTACGAGTAACAAGATGCCCGTATTTGAATTTCCTTTTAATCTAGGAAGGAAAATTTTATAATGAAATCACATTTAATTAAATGTTATTGTTTAGAATACAGAATCTGAACGGCTTATATTCGAGCAAAAGGTCTCACCTCCCTCCCTTAAAATATGTGCACTTATGACTAAGGAGAAGAGAAAGGGAAAAAAGAAGATGAAACAAGAAAATAAACAGATACGGGTCGTGTATATCTACGAGAATATACGAAAATTAAATTAAATGAAAAGAAAAGGAGAAAGTGACAATATTTTTTTCTTCATTTTTTAAGAAAGAAAAAAAAAAAGAGGAAACAAAGCTCCTTGATGTTGGAGTAAAATGTGGGTCGCTAAAGGCATGTGTGTGTAGGTCCATGGTTTTATCCGGATGGTATTCCCCGTGCGGTTGATTCTTAAAATGTGATGTCATCCAAACCAAAAGTCTCGCCCCAGATATATTCTGACTTCATGAGACATCAGTTTTCCTTTTCTTCAAGAAATCCAGAAAGTGAGAAAGAGAGAAAGAAAGAGAGAGAGAGAATATTCTGCAAATGAAGACATTCACGGCAGCCTTCTGAACCAATTTCTGCTGCCGAGGTGTGATGCTTTGGCCCAAGTGTTTGCCGATGATCTTGAATTTTGTGATATAATGTAATCACTTAGCAAATTTCCCTTCATCACATGAGGATTAAGCCAGGTTTACGAGTGGATCGTCTGATCTGCTTCTCTAGCCAAAATTATGTCCCGGTAGATTAGACTTCTTCGCAAAATATTTGTATGCTATACAAAATATTAGGTTCAACAGATCATGCAGCAACATGTTGGTTGGATGGGGAAGGGGGGAAGGAGTGGTAGGGGAGAGGGAGGTGAGGGGGGGGGGGGGGAAGAAAGAAGCCTATAGAAGGAGGGATGGGAAAGGGATAGAGAGAAGAAGAGGGAGAATATGGGAGAGAGAGGAGAAGAGAGAGAGAGAGAGAGGAGAGAGAGAGAGAGAGAAAGATTGTGAGATAGAGTGGGTGGGGGGGGGGGGGGGGGCGGGAGGGGGGGGGGGGTGATGGCGCTAGAATCAGCCGCGAAATGTAGTTCATTATGTTGACCCCACATCAAACAGGAAGGTCCAATGGTCGAAGCCCTCATAACGTGAAACTGATGATAAAACGCGACAGTGGCGTATCCAACCCAGACATTGATAAACACGAGTGGAATTCATCCCATATCGGGGGTAGGCGGGGGGTGGCGTACACTCGCCCCAGCTCCACTCAGATTTGAAGTTTGGGTTCTTCACTTGTCTTAATCTATTTGAAAGGCACTCGCCATTTCACTTCTTTGTCTTTCCACTCTTGTCCGTGTTGTTCTTAGTACTTCTATCTAGCCTCTTCTCACCCTCCTATATCTCGAATATTTATCTATTGACATGGCTCCCCACTGACTTTTTATTCGGGGTCAAGATTTTGATATTTTGAAAATTTCGGGGACTCGAGAAAAAGCAAAACAAAATAAAGAAAGAAATATTCGTTTTTACGAATCCCTTAATTTACAGTTTTATATATCTTTTTAATGGTCTTCAATTATCCACTAGCTATTCAAATCAAGCTCTTACAATATTGTCAAATGGCTCATTTATAGATTCGAAAGGGGGCATCATAAGTTTATAATCCTACTTGATTTTCGAAGCGGATATAGACGCCAGCACCTGGGTCGGTATTCAATTCAATACTAAAGTAAAAAATTTGGTTGGTATTATACTTAAGTAAAATAAAATTTAAAAAGAGCCAAATTTGGTATTCAATTACGTACTTCAGCTAAATATTTATTAAAGATGTCGTCCGACTAAGTAAATGTCTTAGATGTTGCTTGAAACGAGTCAATTTTTGAGCTTAGCAAAACAATTAGTAACAGTTTTACTTAAACAAAGTATCAAATTAAATACCGGCCCTGAACAAGATGTCCTAACATTTATGATTTTGTTTTCTTTCAAAGAGGAACTTTTTTAATGGGGGAAAAGAAACCGTTTTCGTATTGATTACTGGAAAATATGTTATATATATATTCCTTTGATGTTAGAAACGGGAGGGGTGCCCCTGCGCCCTTTCACTGCCACTGTCTTATTAATTGGAAGAAGAAAACAAAATCATATCCTTTTCCTTATACTCTCTTCTCTGCTTTTCGCCTTCTCTCCGTCTTAATCACTCCCTTCACCGGGGCCCCCACGTTCGCAAAAATATTATTAGGACTTATGACCTTAATTTCTATGACCAACATGGATATAGCCTCGAGTACGTGTCATCCCGGGGAATTGGGATTGCCTTATTCATCTATCATATTCATTAGATTAATTTATGACGAATTAAATTACGCCCCAGTCTAAAACTATTTACGAAGTCAAGAGTAAGACGTTATTCAGCAAAAGGAGACGTGTCTTTGGCTGTGATACACTTCAATTTAAAGGCATAGTGTCATGGATCTGGACGGTTTGTGGTTCTGTTTCAAAAGAAAGCGCTCATCTCTGCATTTTAGATGCTTGGTTGTGGAATTTTAGCCAAAAAACAATAATGGATTTGCAATGACATCAACGCGGATTAACGAAATTTTTACAGAATTTCAGTTGCATAGACAGTTGATTATTGAAGTGTGTCAAACTTGAATTTAATTGACCTGTAGCTAAATGAATATTATCAAGTCCCTTTGGATAAAAGACAGCAGCTTTTGACTCTTGAATATATCCGCTCCAAGGCTATTTTAAATACCTTAGGTTGATTTTTCGAAAGATGTTTTGATCGTGTTTTATTGAGATTATAAAGGCTCGTTCAGATATGTCACGGCAAAACTGCGGCGTTTTCTTTAATTTTTGTATGATACGCCCTCCAGTTCTGAATCATATATCAGAGAAAACGCGTAAGTCCTGTGTTGCACATACTTTATTCACTTATACGTCAAGAAGAACCGCGATGGCCTTTTTTGCGGCGGTTTACCGGGCCATTTGTGAACAAGTCTTTACTGCGTAGTGCGTACTGCACCTTTATTGAGCTAGAAATATCCTTATAGCTTTGGCTCGGGTACCCAGTTTTCTGCGAGACCAAAAAAAGGCAAGTCCTTGGTGTGACATGTATCGTTTATGTAGCACGGAAGGGGCTCTTTAAATGGCTAAGTTAATAACATGATGTCTTAATCATGGAGCCGCACTTCACAACAGTCTCAAGCAGACATCTTAATCAGGTTTGACTCAAACTACTTCTGACAGACAGGGACATGGTGTAAATGCGACGAGCTACGCCAAGTTCTAGTTCGAGCGAAGAAGGAATGGGTGAGGAGGGGATGAGGAGGGGATGGGGAGGGTATATCCCACACAGTCAGTGTGAACGCGGTGAAAGTCCATCTTTGAAGAGGCGACTTCCTAACTTTGATTTCCGTTTGATTCTTGTTTTTCTAACATTTTGCGTTTTTTTTTGTGGGGGGGGGGGGGGGGGACGGAGTTTCAAACTTGGAACAAGATGGGGGTCAAGTTGATAACAGATGTCTTATTTTTATGTCCAGTTTGATTTCTGTGATGGAACACAAGTTTATTAGAGTACTAATGTTGGTTCGACACCAACCCCCTCCCCCTAAAAAATGTTTCGTCATGGTCGTAGGTGTGACAAGTTTAGCTTAGCAGACCAGACTCATATTCAGTTTAATCTACGAGTCTTCATGACATATTACGTGTACAGAGATTATATTAAAGACTGGCCCTTTACAGTGGTTGTTATTAGGTGGATTGCACGTATATATCTTCGGAATTCGGATGTATTGTGTCATGTTATTACAAGAATAAAAAAAGTTTTTCTGCTGTATATAATTTTCCTTCGTTTTTTTACACTGCGTTGTAAATTTATTTATATGATATATTATGTTTACAAACCGAATATTGATTTTTTACATTGCTTTGTAAATTTATTTATATGATTTATGTTTATAAACAGAAGTTTAATATATTTAATACAATATTACAAATACATCCAACAACTAAATTATTCATACCCTTACCAATTTCATAAATATGTGAAAAATGATTTGTCCCGATTTATACTTCTTGAGAATGTGACATATGAAAAGTATTCAGCAAAGGCCCGCATTCAACCAGTCCACCTTTATTTCTTGAGATCAAAACACAATAATCATCAGATTTACAAAGGGTACGAATATTTAGTTGTTCTGTACATGTATATTCGTCATTAATACAGGACAAGCAGCACACAAAATAATCACTCATAGACATTGTATTTTCGTTTCTCCCAATTGTTATTTTATCAGTGTCTCTCTTCAAATTATCAAGGAATATTCAGATGAAAATTCAAGTCACTCGCGTAATCAAATGGCATGAACAATGATTCTTACACGTAGTATATCCAAAATTGTGTCACTTTTCTTTGAGATCTTTGTATTCTTAATCGTCACAGTAACTTGTGGCGCTTCACACGTTAAACTATGTACACAGGCACATAAATGTATGTAACTCCATAGTCATTCTTCTAATATATATTTTAAAATGTCAAATTGAATTTGTAGACTTTAGTAAATGAGCATTTTGAAGTCTTATTCAATCTTGCTCCAATTTTTTGCCCATTTTTCTCTTTTCATCATCTTCATAATTTTCTTCTTTTTCTTTTCTCAGTCTTTAATCATTATTTCAATACATAGTTTAATATAGACCAATACATCTTCAAATAAACTTCTCACTTCAATATTGTATAAAATTTGTAAACTTTTACCATTTTTCATTTTTTTTCCTTACCTGGAGCTCTCTTTTTCTCCCATAAACTTAGTTGTTTTAAACCTTTACTGCTTTTCATCAAAAGAAACAAAAAATAAAATTAAATAATAGTCACCACACATGTGGCTCATAAACGTGGATAATCAATGACATAATATATCGAGAACAAAGTCCTCATTCCAAATCCATTCTATTCAAAAATATTTGTAGAGACGTGAGCTCTGAATTAGATAGATCAACTATTCATCAGTTGATTTTGTAAAGTGTCAATTTTTTTTTTGAGTGAACGCTATCCAAAAATCATCTCCCAGCTTACTTCCCACTCCACTCCTTGTTATATGAGTTCACATGCATGTACAGGGATGGGCGAGTGTGGGTAAGTAGATTGCCCAGTAAGAAACAAGCGCAAACTTCACACAGGCAAAGTTGTACCACATCTAGATCCAAGTACAGTGAATTCATGACATCGTTAACGTTTCATTCACCAATGATAGCATTTCTGAAGGTGCCCAAATCTGACAGTTTCTTTGTGTGCTGTGGCAAATTTTGTTAAACGCTTAATTGAAATGCTGTTTCACTCTTATTCTATAATTATATGAAAATGTGATGGAAAATGGAACTAACAGAGGAATTAAATCTGGATAAACTGAGCAGTCTTGCCCGTCTTCAAAATTAGTCTACCAACATCTCATATTCCCTACCCCAAAATAATTCACTTACGTCGTCTAAAGTTAGTCTCAAGTCCATATTTACCACCCGAGGAGGCTAGGACCCTTTACGTTCTTTTTTTTTTTACCTTCAAAATTTGAGAATTGGACAACTTACGGTATCCACAATAAATGGCTTATGCATAGCGATAGAAGCTTCATATCCAGTGTGACATCATAAACATCTTCATACAATAATAATATTTACATACAAAATACTTGATCATAAATTAGTGAAGTGAATTGCAATACAGAATTCTCAAAAATGTCTTATCTCTACCTTATTCTTTCTTTTGAAGATGAACAGGTTAATACAGGACATAATTATCTAACTATTAATCACGATATAACATCCATGGACTTTCAGTTTGTGAAAAATAGTCAAGTAGAAAAAGGTGAGTAAATATATAACGTGCTTTTTCCCCATGCTTATAACAAGAGACCAACTCTTAGGTACACAATAGTGAAAGAAGAAATGAAAAACAAAAACAAAAAATCAAAAGAATCCTCCATTCTTCTCGAGTTTGGCAAATCCCAACACACACATCATAAGGAACATGTGAAAGTTACATTGAAGTATGAGGAATGAGACAAAGAAAAAAAAAAGTACTACACTAACTTAGCCTTCAATGTATGACTGACTCTTGGTTTCAGAGATCACAAATCTAAAATGGAAGCACATTCGTTTTGAAATTATATAAAAAGGACAAAACTGAAGGGGGAAAAAAAGGCAATAATTTGAAAGGCAGGGATGAGTTGAATTCATTCCAGATAATTTCATCGGTTACTTCTTTACGATTTCAAGCAGAAATAAAAGAAAATGAAACGGGTTCAACGAAAATTGTTATTCGTAATTCATGAAAAGCAGCCATGTTGCGGCTTTTCATCAGCATGATCACGATGTATACCATAAAGGGATAATGAATGAGGCAACTATCCATGAAACTTGCTCCTAGGTGAGCTCATCTACTTTCATCTGATTCCCTTGAAGTGCGTTGACGATTCGGCACCGTCAAGGAGTTGCAGATTAGAACCATCTGATAGCAGAGACAGTCGACATTCACACAGGCTCATGAATATCAACATACCACTACCTATGGCATGTACAGCTAAGGTAAGGTAAGGTGGATGAATAGAAAAGTCCATCGTGGGTTCCAAATCATGAAAACAATAAATTCTTTGCATTCTCGTCATAATAAATCTCATACCTATATATCATATATATCATAGTTATATCGCAAAGACAAAGATCATCTCGGACTCTTCATCTTTTCATCAATTTTTTTTTCTGAATTGGGAGAAAACGTCGATAGTTTTGATAGTTCATTATCTATCTCTTGAAGCACATAATTTGTTTTCCGTGAAGAAGAAGAGCTGCTTGGCAGACACGTCTACACGCGGGGCATGCATCAGCATTAATCCGCTTCAGCTAACCATGTGAAGAAACTTGTGACGGACTTGAGCGCCACGCCCTTGCCAGCACTCTCCTTTGGATCCTCGCTTTTCTTCCAATCGTAGAACGACTCTTCCGATGCTACATCTTCATCATAGAGGACATCAAACAGGATTCTTAGTAGGCCTGCAACGAGAGATAAGACACATTACAACACATCAACAAATAACAATTTGACTAACTGACCAATTGCAAGTATTTCAAAATTAAAGCCCCTCTAAAATGTTTGGAGCCCCAAATTTGATGGCAAAATTTCACTTAAAATGTATCAGAATGCGAAAGAGGATGTCATTTAAGACACACTTTTGCAAAGATCCCCCCCCCCAAAAAAAAAAAATGTGTTTGAAGACAAATATTGATAAAAGAATACTTAATTTGGGTTCCTGTTGTACACAGAACAGCTAAATTGTGTACTTTTTCATTCGACTTCAGACACATTTGTTTTGAAAATCCTTGAAGAAATGTGTCTTAAATGACATCCTCTTTCACATTATGATACGATTGAAGTGTAATTTTGCCATCAAATTTGTTGGACTCCAAAAACTTGAGAGGGGCTTTAAAATGATCATGTTTCATGCATTGTCTGCTAGGAGAAAGGCAATTAACTTCCATCAATGGAACAATATTTTGTTGAAAGATTCCACATTTATTTCAGGGATACCAAATAATTTGTATACATGTATGCTCATTTTCAATCTGTGTTTTGTTCCGTTACTATTATGAGTTTACACTCATGAATGTTATTGCATTTTGAGCCTGAAGGCCACTATTGGGGAAAATGTGTTACCCTGTATAAATGTCAGAAATAAATAAATGATTCAATACATAATAATGAGTTAATGCCATCCTGCCTTTCATCTGACAATACTTGCAATCAATACCTTAGAACCATAAAACAAGTACACATTTCCAATTTGTTTTCAAAGGAAAATTCCAATTGTTGAAAAAGACTCCCATTATGATAGTCATCAATAATATGACTCAAACAACCTTTCATTGAACTTAAAGGTGGACAATCACAAACCACCTGTTCATGTTCTTGTAAAGATGATCCTAACCAGAACAATAGCAGTCCCTGAGCAACCATATTCAGTCATAACATCCAGTGTACATTTTCATGTAATGAAGTGGTATTAGTGTACTTGGTTAGACTTATTATGCACAAGGGCCTGTTGCACAAAACTTACCATTGATGGTAAAAAAACAACAACGTTGTATTGCCTTTTAAATGCCAAAACACGGCACTTTAAAAAAAAAATTCCCCCCCTTTGGGCTGATATTTCTCTGTTTTTAAGGCTTTGAAACATTCCCCCCCCCCCCTAAAAAACAGTCATAACAACAAAAAAAAGAAGAAAAAAAGCTGACCATACATTTTAGGCCTTAATGGCATTTACCATGATAACAGGGCTCAACAGCCAATCAAAATCAAGGTTTCCATGGTAGTTACCATTGCTGGCAAAGTTACCATCAATGGTAAGTTTTGTGCAATGGGCCTATAGTCATTCAGATAGGGGATTTATAAATAATAATAATAATAATCAATACCATCTTGCAAGTTTTAGTTACCTTGAGGGCTTTGTAGTGAATGATTGAGGGCCTGGACAGCATATAGTGCTTGAAGCTCTAGAGGGCGCTTGTTATCGATGTAGCGTTGTAATACCGGACCACGTTGCTTCAGGATTGCAGGGTCGACTCGGCAGTTCTGCTCTTCACCTGGAACGTGAACGAAGATGTGTTGAAAATTCAGAAGATATTCAATGAGTGATTTTAAGTTGGGTGTTTAGGGCTGGTGTTAGTGTTTAATAACAGCCCTAAACACCAAAATGGAAATCATCAGGTGTTAAGGCTTTGACCTCTAAATATTGTCAACTTCCGATAGCTAGTGTTATCGACTTTACAAAATTGTCGTCTGCTGAACCTTCTTTTGTAGCTGGTGTTAATATTTTACGTACAAATGTCCCATTCACTAACACTTGCCCCTAGGGATTAAGCAAATGTTGATTTCCAGTTCCGTGTTAGTGTTAAGCTATCGGAATTGATATCGGTACCAGGCTTTTAATTTCATCAGCAAATTTTTAGCTCGATTTAAGAGCTCTTGATTGCTCTAAACACTAACACTAACACCCAACTTGAAATCACTCAATGTGTCCATAGAGGGTTTAGCAATGGGGTATGTTGCTCTATTTCTAAATAAAATGTATGAAATACAGAGATATTATTTAAATATGAAGGGAAAATAACACAGATTTGTCTTAAAATCGTAGAGAACTGTATTGCTGATTACGTTCCACTGGTCATACTTTCATTTTATACAACACATGAGCAACAAAAAAAAACCTTAAGGAGGAAAGTTATGCATCATTTATAACTGGGGCAGGTGAACTGGTGAATACAATGGTTTGTAAAATAGTAGAACTCGCTACTTTGTTCACAGTTTTACTAACAGATTTGCGGAACTTTATATGGAAGATATTAACAACATGATAGAATGTTAAGAATGTGAAGATTTGTTTTCCTCTTTACATTTATTTTTCTTAGATGAATCCAATGATCGATATAACAAAATTTACTTCAGACTATGGAGGGTGTGCATGTATAAATAACATTTCCAGATTATGCTAGGACATAAAGAACAGATGATATACCGCCAGTATCAAAATCAGATAAGTGGTGAGTGTACAACAGGGTTCCAAACTATCTGAATACCTGGGATCCAGTCTACATTTGGGTGGTCTGTGTGTGTGTAACAAACTCATATCAACATTTACAAATATGAGGGCCCATGTGTTGAGGACCTCTGTCTAGTACAGTACTGACTCAAAATGTAATTTGATATACTATGTTGTGCCTTCTCATGCTTATCTCCTTTCTAATGCGCATTTCTCTTTCCTCATCTTCTTCTCAACTCCACATGCAGCTCATCATTTTGTATTATTTTCTGTATCCCCAATCTCTCACTTCTTTTTTGGCTTTGTCTACTATTATGACCGGGTTCTTCTATCTTTGTCATGTAAAGAACTGTCTTGTCCCATTCTCGTCTCTGTCCGCATCCCCATTTTTTTCTATTTTGTAGTTCCTTTTGTAGTTACGGACTTGTAAATCTAATTACTCATTATTCCTCAGTATCATTTGAGGCGTTCACACTTGTACAAGCATTGCTTTTTAGTGAGCCCCTCTGTTTCCAATATGTATTTCTACATTTGTTGTAAATGTTTAATTGTTTTGTAATGTTTTGTAAATTGACATTGAAATTGAATTGGTACAAAGAAAGGTTGCTTACCTTCTGCTGCGTTCTTGCAGATTATAGTAACTAAGGCACGAATGAATTCAGAGTTCTGCTTCTGTGTGTCTGTCACATTATGCTGAAAGTGAGAAAAAGAACAAGAATTACAAGAATCATCTGGATTTATAAAGCACCTAATACAAAATGCCATCTCTAAGCGCTTTGCAGATATTACCCCAGTCATCGGATTCATTCAAGTACAAGGTACACTATCTCCACTCCATGGGGAGTATCCCGACTATATGGTCACAGCGCGGGCATAATGGCAATCACTAACACAAAGGCTATTACATCCTACCAGGTATCCATTTCTTTCCTGGGTATGGAGTGGTAAAAGCAGATTAATGCCTTGCCACAGGACATCAGTGCCTGGAAAGATTACTTTATAGCGACCTTCAACAATGACATACACAAATACAAAAAAAGAAACAAGACTCTTAAAATCCATGTCACACAGTGGAGAGTCCAAGGTTTGTCCAATATGTTACCAAGTATTATTATTAAATTGTATTATGAAACTGGGAACATAAATTGACATCAAAATATCATTTCATTTGATATTGTGTTAGATTCAAGCTCTATTATGGCTATCAGCTTGACACTCATCAGATTTTGACAAAGTAGCTTGGATTTGCCTAAATACAGATGTTCTCTCAATACTGGGGGTGTTTCATAAAGCTGTGAGTAAAGTTACGCATGACTTTACGAATGACTTGAATATGAAGAGCTAAATGAGATTCTCAAATCTTAATTGCATAAGCTAAAGTTGAAATATGCAGATGTAGATTAACCTTATCATTATTGACAAACATTCAAATGCAAAGTGTATTTTTGGCTACAATTTAATTTGAGATTATGGGAAATACAGTCACATTTCGTTAAAATGTCAGGAAAAACTTTAGGCATCCCATTTGGCCCTTCATATTCAAATCCTTTTTGAAGTGATTCGTAACTTTACGCACAGCTTTATGAAACACCCCCCTGGATTCTCTTTGCAACTTGCATACATTCCTTATAAAATAGTGATCATTATTCATTTGGGTGCTTTGGCCTGCTCCTCTTAGAGCGGGTACTATTTGAGGTGATGAAAGATGGTGGGTTAACTCACCTCGATCCAGTCAAAGATCTTGTTGTTGTCTGGTCTCTCTTTACCGCTAAGTAGATTAGTGAGCCCTGTGTTGAAGACTTGTAGCCAGTCACCCTGTGGGCTTACACTGTTAAGGCCATTATCAGTGGCACTTGCACCTTCTAATGTGAAGTCTACACCCTATAATAAAATGAAGATGAAAGATTAAAGATTAAAGTTCTGGTCATGCGATTGCATTGTGAAAGAAACGTTGTGGAATCGATCAGAAAAGGTTGATCATCTAGCATATAAGTATTGGTGTGTACTGCAAGGTTCTGGAATCATCAAAATAGTAAGAAATTTGACCCAGTCTTTGTAAAGTAACAAACACTGTACACAGAGAGATGTATATGGGACGACACAAACATGTGGCATAAAAATATGTCCCGATTTTTATGATGTTACATGCCATATTTAAAATGTTAAGGAATTTGAAGAGCCATGCTAATCAGGGAACATTTTTTATCTGATGTTCTTCCACACTTGCATAATACAATGATAACGCTCACAAATTATTTTTCACCTCTTCCCAGAACTCAACCTTCTCTTTAAAACCAATCTTTTAGAACTCAAATTTAAGCTATATTTCAAAAAAATAATACTAAAAATGAATTTGAATCGTTTTGCTAACATTGAGGCTAGCCAAATGTAGACTAAAGATTGAAAACCGGGGAAAACCACATGACCTGAAAATTGTCAACATGGATATCTACACATAGGACAACATTGAAAGTAGACTTCCGTGGTCCAATAGTAGAGGTTAAACAACATCTCATAGAATGCCTCCTTTATTTGCAGTATTGCTTTATTATAGTTATTAAGAATTTGCTTTAAAAAATATATCAGCTTTTGAAATGTTTATAAACAGATTTTTCAGTAATAAGTAACATGAAAGAATGAATAGTCACTTACCTTCTTTTGCACAAATTCCTGAACATTTTCACCTTCAGATAGGAAGTCTTCCCACTTCAGACTGGCTTGTTGCCATATATGACACACCTTACTAGCACCCTGTATATAAAACATACAATACATGACTCATAATTGTATGTTAAATGTTGAAGAGACAGGAAATGGGAGACAATCTAGGGGAACGACAGCAATGCAACTTTGAAGAATTCTCAGCATATTTCACCCTTTCAAATCAAGCACCCTCTCATCCAGGATCATTTGATAGATACAAATGACTCTGCTGTTCTGCATGGAACAAATGCTGAACATTTTGAACAAAGATGTGAACTAAAATCAAGATCATTTTCATCATCATTGCCTCTAACTTATTGCCCACCATAATAACCATTTATGAGAAATAGTTGTCTTTATTATTGCAACCATCATCATCTACTTCCAATTCTTACTATTCTTTTTCAAGCTGTCCTGGTCATCAATCAAAACCATCGCCATCATTCACTCAACATTTATCTCGACCCCCCCCTTCAAGATCTTGACCATACAGACCCAGCCTAAACCTTCCTGAATCATCAACACTAACATTCTTCTCAAACAACACCGCCCCCCACCCCCCTCCAACCGCCCCCCTCCCTCCAAACCCCCTTAAGATCTTGACCATAAAGACCCAGCCCAAACCTTCCAGAATCATCAACACTAACATTCTTCTCAAGCAACACCGCCCCCACCCCCTCCAACCGCCCCCCTCCCTCCAACCCCCCTTAAGATCTTGACTATAAAGACCCAGCCTAAACCTTCCTGAATCATCAACACTAACATTCTTCTCAAGCAACCCCCCACCCCCTCCCCCCTCCCCCTCCATTCAAGATCTTGACCACAAAGACCCAGCCTAAACCTTCCTGAATCGTCAACACTTACAATTTTCCTTGAAGCAGTCTTGAGGACCTCTGCTAGAAGCACTCCATCCTTCTCCTGCTCTCGTAGAGGCTTGACTGCAGTGGCTTGAAGCTGTAGGTACTCAGCCCCTAACACCATAGCACCCATCAGTTCACCAAGGTACTCATAGATCTTGGGGATGTCTATTGCCATGTCATCTGCAAACTCTATCACATCCTTGATTCTGGATGGAATTGAACGATAAGAGCGCATGAGGAACAATCGAGGATAATGGGTTTTTAATGCCATTTACTAGTCTAGGTGAACATTAAAGATGCTCATGCGTAGGTATATAGAGGGTAACACATGGACGTACGTACAGGAACGTATTTCCCGTTGGCTCAGTGTTATGTAGTGATCGCCAAGTTGCCCACTTCGCAAACGACTATATACCCACGCATGAACATCTGTAAGTGACAGACCACTTAATTATACAATGTTTATGCCCCTGTTTATGACCGAAATGTATAAAATTAACACTATTTAACCAATATTTTGTAGACTGGGATATTGAAAGTAAAATGTGTAAAAGAGATCTGTGTCATGCTGCTTGTGCAGTCTTAGACCAGACCTGCCAACCTAAGGAGTTCAAAAACTGTATTCTTTAATCCCAAAAGTTGTATTTTACTGACAAAAGCTGTATTCTTAAAAATAAACACGGACTGTTACACAGAAGAATTTTTTAATGGATCAATGGTTGAATATAGATGAGAATACTAACCCTGTTAAATATTGCTCTTTTGTAAGGATGTTACTGTTTAATAGTGAGTGGAAGAGAACACCGACGGCTTCCCTCATGTCTTGCTTCTTCTCTATGACATGGTCTACTGTAGCTTGCACAAAGAGATGTCTCTGTTTGCTTGGCAACTCGGACACACACCTTGTGGCTTCCTGTAAGGCAAAGAAAGATGGACGTGGCTCAAACAGCGGTTGCACGAATACATGGTAGGTGATATATTTATTTTATGCACATTTATGTTTTATTATGTTATTCATTGTGATCTCCTGCCAGTGGAGGCCAAATTTCTGTGTTGTTTAACATGGACAATAAAATCTGAATCTGAATGCACTATTTTGTCATGGGCGATTGGGGGAAAGCATTACAAAACTTAAAAATGTTTGTTAAGTTAGCCTACATTTTGTAATACTTCTATAATATTGGATTGCCTTGAGTGTGATACAAAAATATATTGCTCGAGCTGTGACAATATTGGACGAGTCAAATATGAGTCTCATATTGTCTTAGCAAGAACAATATATTCTTGTATCACACGAAAACAAAGCCATATAATAGTAGACTCTGTCATGTGGGGGAGAAACTAGCTCATGTATCAAAACTTCGACCTGAATAGAAAACTGAGAATCCCTATTCAGTCTAATGAAGAGATTTTTAATCTGCCTCTGTTAGATTGTCAGATGAAGAACAATAATCGGCTTCTCTGAATTCAAACAAAGAGGCCTTTTTTTGTGTGATATTGATATGATATCGATAGTTGAAGTTCCCGGATGACTGCGAATTACGATAACAATATTGGTCAGTCATCTGGGTACTGCGCTAAAGATATTGAATACACTGATTTATACAACACCTACGTGGATCCTTGTCATTTGATTGGACGATTGTTGGTCACATGATATTCAATAGATGGTATATTGCACGGTCGTGCATTTTTGGTTATATGCAGACTGCGTACCTCTCTGCTGCATGTGCGCGCGCGTATCCCTGCGTGTATCTGACGCGAAGGCAATCTGCATGTAATTGAGAAGGCTTGACTCGAACTGTAATTTATCTTTATAAGGAGTAAAGCATAATTTGTTGATTAACGTTCTATTAGGTCTTCTTCGATGTTGTATAAAACAAATAATGAATGTTTTTCATTCGTTTAATAGTGCAAATATTTTCATTCGTTGAAAGATTAACGTTAATTCTATTCAACTCGGCTGACGCCTCGTTGAATAGAATGTTAATCTTTCAACTCATGAACATATTCGCACTATTGAACTCATAACCATTCATTATTTGTATATTATAAAATGGCTCTAGTATTTTAAGCATCGTGATTGGTCAATACGCGTCACATGACATTGAAAAAAATTTGATGCAAGCACGATTTTGCAGAAATGAGTGCAGAAAAAGCGCAGTAAAAAGTTATATTGCACGGTGCGTACGTGACCATGGAGATCCAGTGCGCGCGCGTACGCGTAGTACTAGTACGCTCCCTCGAGTGCATTGTAGGCTATAGGCTACGCGTAGCTAATATTGTACGCTCCACCATGATCCCCAGCGCAGCGTACGCGTAGCTAGCTTAGCTCTAGCTAGAGCGGGGTATTTATTAGAAAGCAAATTTTTATTTTACTTTTGCCTTGGATTTAGACCCGTTTTGACTTTTGGATTTTATAATGAAGCCAAGAATTTCAGCTGTCTGATGTAGACTCGTCTCTAGACACCCTATGCATTTTGTTTTTAATCAAACAATGAATCCCGTGGACTTTTCGGTAAGCCTGCAAAAAAAGTGCAAGGTTTTTTTAGACCCTCATTTTAGTCTAGTAGAATCTAGTTCTACTACTAGAGTCTAGATCTAGTAGAACCAACATAACTCTAGATCTAGATCGAACTCTCGTATACTTAAGATCTAAACTTTTGTTTGTTGCTGTTTGTGTCGCTATTTTATAAAACAAATAACGCACTTGACCCTGTTGTGCGAAACGTAAATGCAGTGTTCGCTCGGTTTCTTCAGATGGTTCGCACTGTCAACTCGCCGCAAGCGGCTCGTTGCACAGAGCGGCACCAATCTAAAGAAACCTCGCGCGTACTGCATTCACCGCTATTGCACTCTGGGCCGTGCGTTATTTGTATATTATTGTACCACTTGGAAGCCTTATATAGATAATAATGGATCATAACCGATATGAGACTCAAGAATAAATAGATTTCAATCAATCAATCACACATCTTGACTTGATAAGGCCATTGACTCTCACTTGCTTTTGCTTGCCCTGTGAGAGCTTCAAGTCCACATGTAATGAGGAGCACATCTGATCATTTCTTTCAACACATTTACTGCTTCATCGTTTAGATTTTTTTTAAATCAAGATATTGAAAGATAAAGTTGAGTTTTGGTCATGCGATTGCATTGTGAAAGAAACGTGGAATCGATCAGAAAAGATTGATCATCTAGCATATAAGTATTGGTGTGTACTGCAAGGTTCTGGAATCATCAAAATGATCAGAAATTTGGCCTAGTCTTGGTAAAGATACAAGCAATTGTACACAGAAAGATGTATATGGGACTACACAAACATGTGGCATAAAAATCTGTTCCGACTTGTATGATGTTACAGGTCATATTTAGAATATTAAGGCATTTGAAGAGCCATGGTTTTCAGGGAACATTCTTTATCTGATGTTCTTCCACACTTGCATAATACAATGATAACGCTCACAATTTGTTTTCACCTCTTCCCAGAAGTCAACCTTCTCTTTAAATCAAGATATGTTTATAGCGTATTGTCCCAGCATTATTATTATACTTACAGTAAAATCTCTGAGGTTGAGGAACTCGTCTACGGTAGCCTTTGAGGTTTGCTTGACCTTGTCATCGGTCATGGTGGGTTCTTTCTTCTTCTCCGGTCTGGGAGCAATCTCTTTGGATCCTACAATCAATACAATGAGAAAGGTAGATTAGACACTATACCAGGATATACTAGCATCTCAAGTATCAGGTTGACTCTATGACACATGGTCCAGCACAATAAGCCAGTTTGTAAATAGCTTTGGAATCCATGACCCCAAAATATCCACAGATCTTTTACACCATGGATACGTCCCACTTGTGCATTTAAGAATAATCACTGCCGAAGTGATGGAGCTGCTTCACCAATTGATCTTTCTATCTATCTATTCTATCTAGAAGAAAGAATTAAGTTCTGCTTGGAGTTCAAGGAAATACAAAAAAGCATAAGAAATAATGATCCTCCATGCAAGAAGAAATTATTTTACAAAATGCTGCCCTTGTAGGGCATCGTCAAGTAATGATTTCGTTATGTGTGGTAGAATTAGGTGCATACCCTGCTATTTATTGGCTCGTTACTCCTCTTTGTTTTAATGTATTTTTTTTCTTTTTTTTTCTTCTGTATTGTATTGTATTGAACTCGCAAACAATTATTTGTCAAATTACTGCCGTCATAATTTTAATTGTGTACCTCTCTCTACAGTAAACATTTTCTATCCCTGTTATTTATCAAGTCTCCCATAAACCTATTCTTTACAAGCTCTGCTTTTCAATAGGTTCCTGCACATTTCACAGTTTGTACTTTTGTCTGGGTTGTTGAACAAATGTGATGATTACCTTGTCAATTAATATAATCATTTTTTAAAAATTATGTAACAATATGTCTTTTATGTATATTTTGTAATCTGTATTATTTGTGAAATATATGTGAAATGTGAAATCAATAAACTCAATCAATCAAACTCAAAAAAAATTAGACTATCTATGTACAGTCAAACCTGCTTAAGTGACCACCTGTCTACAACAAGCACATTTTGTGTCTCCCTTGGGTGGTTGTTGTTTGACTGTATCTATCAAGTTCATGTTAGAGATGTGTACTGACCTCTTGGCTGCTCTGTTCTTGCAGGCCTGCTGATTCTTTGAACCTCTGCAATGGCTGCTTCCTTCTCCCTCTCTCTGTCCCTCTCTCTCGATGGCCTCTTACCGTCTCTCGAGTCTCGGGAACCAAAACCACCACTTCCTCTACTGTCTCGACTGTAATCAAAGAGACAAGAGATCATCATTGGTATTAAAGTTAGTGCGTAGAGGTAAGTAGAGCCAGTACAGATAAGTTGAAGTGTCATAGTCAAGTGGTCTAATCACTAGATAGCAAATGCAAAGGTTGTGGCCCGAATTCACAAAGGAAGTTTCTGTAAAAATGCGTCAAAACGCGTCATATAACGCACATAAACATAGGTTTGTCAACAAACCTCCTTTGTGAATTCGGGCCTGTGAGTTTGATCCCCGGTATGATAACTATGTCCTTGAGTAAGGCATTGTATCTACTTTACTCCACTCCACTTAGGTGTTAAATGGGTATCTAATAGGATGCGATCAGGGAGATGCAACTTAAAATTCAATTCGAATTTGATAAAGGAAAATTGCTAAACTCAACATGGTTGGTTGATTGTTCTTCTAGTCATGAATAACTTTTCAAACACCACATTTACTGTCAAGTTCAACAATATCAGCACCATGTCTATTTGGATTGATGTTATTACCTGACTGGCCTCTTGGCATCTTCACTCAACATAGAGAACCTATTGGCTTGGGTCGGTGCGGAGTCTTCTTGCGACGATGAAGCCGAGTCTGACGATGACTTGTTCTTGGTGCTGGTACCAATGCTACCTCTTCCCCACGAGCTGAAGCCACGCCCACCTGGACCCAACTGAATGTTGTCATCAGCTGTAGTCATCTACGACAAACAAGGACATCACGGCGAGATGGAAAGGAACAAATGTTAGTACCTCTACTTCAAAGTATTGGCATAGCTTCAAAGAACTATCTATTCATCTGATTTACTTTCATTAATAATAATAATAAATTACATTTATAAAGCGCTTAATACAATATTTCTAAGTGCTTGACATACATGTAAGGTACAACGTAAAATAAACATACAGCAATAATAATACATAATTCTAATAATAACATTACAGATAATCAAACACTGCCCTATAAATAACTATGAAACAAAAAATACTTCAAACTTGCCTTAAAAGACTCTACAGATCATCTACACTAGTTTGGCCAGGAGGGATTAGACCTCCCTGCAAGGTCACTGACAGGTGGTTATCTCAAGAAATAAGGGATCATGGGGGACACACGGTTACCGCTTATGCATTGTTAGCTATATAGAGGGCACGAAATGCATGGTCATTCTGATTGTAAATGTAAAACTGAATTGTCGGATACAATTTTATTTAGTATAACAAGCATTGTCCAAACTGCAGTTGAGGGTCTTTTCTGCCTCAGTATTCCATTGATTAAGCAGCAGACTTCATTTTTTTTCCTTCACTTTTTATACACCTATGTTGAGACAATAGACAACCCTCGGAGATGACTTCAAGCCATCAGTTCTCTGGTTGCTTACTTACAAGCATACACATGCTTTCATAGCAGTCAGGTAAAACAAACCATCAATCACAGAATGTGTAGCACAAGAGAACAAAACAATTTTTTAAAGTGTGTCTATTGGAGAGAAATCTTGATCATCCTGTAAGAGTTTGATACAATCTGACACGGACTCAAGAACTGATTCTCTACTGATAAACCATGGATATTCAGAGATGCCAACCTCTTGACACAAAAAAAAAAAAAAAACTGAGTATCCTAAAAAATCAGATTTTCACGAAAACTTGACAATACCACTGGCCCGTCGGCCAGTAAAATTTTAGAAAAAAAATGTTTACTCTTTCATTAAAATTTAATGAGAAAATTGTAAAGCACAGTTTTTTGGGGGGTTGCGGGGGTTTACTTGTACATGTTTCTATGTGATTTCATGTTTTTTGTTTTGTTTTGTTTTTGGAAGAAAAAAAGATGAAAATGGTATTTTAAGATTTTAAGATTGTATTTCACTCTTATTATCATACTAAATACGATGTTATCGTACTGGTTGGCATCTCTGGATATTCCTTCCAATAACAACTACTCACCCTCGTAAGTTTGAGCTTGTTAGGATCGTAGGCTGTTCTCGTCTTGGTGGTCGTTCCTACTGTATTCCAGCCATCATCAGCCTGAGGTGTGACTGTACGTGGAGGTGGAGCCTGCTCCCTACTCCTGTTAGGACCGTTGTAGTTCTTAGACTCTTGCGCTTTCTTGGCCTCGTCGACATGCCATTCTCTGTGGATGGCATCGATAGTCGTTGGTTTGCTCTCCTGTCTCCTGGGGACCCAGTTGTTCTGTATAAAATATTGAAATCACATTTTATTTGGAATAACTGCTTAAAGCCCCACTGCACTGCTTTTATCTACTTGCTCCCTCTATATAGAAAACAATGCCTTGCGGTGCCCGTTGGTCTCCCATGATGCTCTTTTTCGTATGTTAATTGAGAGCTGAGTTGATGAGATAGCCATCTGTCATTGACCACGCTGGGTGGTCTTATCCCTCCTGGCCAAACTAGTACAGACAGGCTTTACTACACTTGGTAGCCAACTGTCTTGTTACAAATAGTGCAAGATATAATCTGTTCAAAGGATATTTCCTTGTGGTGATATCTGTTTCATTGTGTTTAACCAAACCTTTTGAAGGTAACAAAGAATTCTTAATTCATAAATTAAGACAACTTCCAGAGCCATATTGCTCTCCACTCCCATGTATGTTTTGAATTGAATGCTTACAAATTCCTTGAAATGCTAGAGCGCCGTATGGCAGCCGTGCTAAAGCCAGGGTAATAATTGGGACAGACACGAGTGCCATACAAGAACCCATTATCATTATTATTACATAAGAATATCAACATATGTTGTTTTACCAACGCGAATGATATCAAACATTCGGGTAAAAATCATTTTAAGGAGATCCCCTCCATAATCATCAGTGATCACAACTTTCTCATTCCTATCATTCTTCCTAGCTTAGGTATTTGTTTCATTGCTTCCACTCGGGTAAATTGTTGTAACAGCATGGCAGACATGATTAGAGTTGATGGTGCAAGATATTACCCCGCACTTGCTACTCTTCACCCAGGTGTTAAATGGGCACCTGGTAGGATGTGACCGTCATTGTTGGTCAAACAGTTTTTGAGCACCATGCAACACCTGGCTGAAATGTTCCCCAGGGAGTGGAGATTGTGTGCGGGCAAACACTGAATCCAATGACATTGTATTCAGCGCTATATAAAAGCGGAATAATATATTACTCACCCTCCTGAGATCCACAAGATCACACATTAGAAATCGTATCCTAGGCTGGTTGGTCTGAGAAGCAATAATCTTGTCAATCTTGCTGAAGTACTGGTCAATCCGATTCTGAAAGGTAGAGGGGAAAAATGACAGACAGGCATTGATGAGCAACTAGCATACTTTAAATATCAATATTGATGAGTGCATTGCGAGCATAAGGTTTAGTTTGAGGGAAAAAACAAACAAATTCTTGTTCCGATCTTCAAATTTATTTACAGTGTTGTATTCTTATTCTTTGTAATGTAATTAGATTCACTATTTAAGTGGCGATGGTGAGACTTACAGGGGTAATAGTAAGCACTAAAAAAAAAAAAGGTTTTTTGTTTTCCCCTCAACCCGCCCCCCCTTGAGTAAAAAAAAAAAGAGGATTCGCGGGGAAAAATGGCATCTAACAACATTCCCCCCTTTTGAGTAAGAAAATTGGGAAAATTTGGGGAAAAATAGGGGAGAAAAAAAAAATTGGGGAAAAATCGGGAAAATAAAATAAAATAAAATCAGGAAACCGATTTAAATCGGGTTTTTATCAGGCCTGGACTTATCAAGACAGAACGGAGCAATATATTTAAATATTTAAAGCCATATAGTAGTCAGTGTCCATGTGTATTGCATTATAATTCACTGACACCAGATTTGGTTGAATTATCAATTAATGTGCAAGTGTGTGGTCAGGTCTCTCAAGCAGCCAACCCCTGGTCCTACCAGAAAATCTGGCCTTCATATCTCAAGCAGGAGAGAAATTTGATGTCATGATGACTGATGAGAATTCCTTATGGCGGTAGGCTAGAGCACAGTGCATTACATAAGACCTGTCCGTCTTAAAAAACAAAAACCCACTACTAAGAGCCTTTGATGAATAAAAAATGAAGTTGACACCCCCTCCCTTATACAGTCAAATCTGTCTATAGCGACCACCCAAGGGAAACACAAAAAGTGGTCTTTGAAGACAGGTTCCCTTAGTACATGTCAATAAGATAACATTTTGAAGGGAAACAAAAAATGTTGTCTTTGTAGACAGTTGGTCACTAAAGCAGGTTTGACTGTATAGTCAATGTCCCTATATTCTCTTTTGCATTCTGATTCCATCACTTACCTTGGCCTTTTCATGGTCCACATTCTTGCCGATGGTTGCCATGAGATTACAGAGACATTCCAGGGAGTCATCGTCTCTAGCCTTGAGTAGCTTCATGACACAGCTGTGCATTATGTTCTCTGTCAGGATGTTGAGCTTGTAGAGCTCACCGATGAACCGAATGTTACCCATCGTTCTCCTCTTGGCCTTGGAGAGCTTCTCTTGAAGGAGTTCCAACTGGAGTTCTCTCTCATTGGCCTGTAAAAAGGAAAAGACAAGTCCAAGAGAGAGAGAGGTTGACAGGAGATACTATCATAAACAGTATTGGATGTCAAATGGCTGAATCATCAATTTAAAGGAAATGTAGCCTGGCAAATACTGGGTAACGCCATCTACGTTTTCTTTTGGACAACTGCACGTAAAGGAACGGACTTGATTAACGGTTGTCAGCGTTCGAGAAACAGACCAAAGTTCTCCTCACGCTTCTTTCGCGTAATGTTGCACGCACGAGAATGCTTCGGTCGCATCATCAATAGTGGTATTATACCTGATTGGTCCTGAGTCGGCCCTTGGGGAAACACAAAACACAACAGAAACTTGTTACCAACGAAATGGACAATGATCACTGAAATAGTGAAATCTGATTGATCATTGAGCAAAATAGTACGAAGCAGGATACAAAACTTACAGGGAGCTGAGAGATTTCTTTTCTCCTCGTGGCCTCCTCAATCTCCGACTGTTTCTCCTTCTCAAACTCCTGCTGGCAGCTGTGGAGAAGGATCGGACGGAACTGCACCATCGTGCCCGGGGTGGTTACCGATTGCACCTTGAGTTGACCTAATTTCTGGCACATGTGGGCATAGGCTGTGCTGAAGCTGGGCTCACCAATTGCCTATGGAAAGAAAAAGAAATAAAATTCATATCTGTTAAAGAGGGTGTAGCATGGCAAATACTGGTTAACGCCATCTGCGACTTCTTTTGGACAACTGCACGTTAATGAATGGACTTGATTACCGGTAGGTGCGCACTAGCGTTCGCGAAACAGACCAGTGAAAAATGGAAACAGAATGTGAAATTATTATTTAAGTTCCAAATGGCATGAATTAAATCTTAAAGAACACTAAACTATGACAATGAAGAATAATGTGTAAAATTCTTATTGAACTTGGATGGGTTAGTGATATATTAGCAACATAGTAGCTGCGTTATATAAACGGACATATTATTATAATGTTGAATACCTACCTTTTCAAAAACTAGATTAATGACTCCTGTCAGCCTGTCCTCAGTGTCAATGGGAAGTTGCAGTGCTTTGTCCGTCAGTTTGTTAAACATCTGAGGAGTCAGCTTATTAAGAATACTTGTGAAGTTGCGGAACAGCTCCTGGATTTGGGGCGTAGAAGATGGGTAAAAAGTTCAGAAAAGCAGAACCATTTTTACATCATTTGAAATAATCAAATCAACAAACACAAACATCTATGTGCCTACAATTTTTATTTTAAGTTTTTAAATGTGAATTAACCTTAAATATTCAGCAGACATTTCCTAATATTCTGTACCGTATTTGCCGGCGATAAGGCCGCAGTGTTTTTGGAAGAAAAAATATCAAAAAGTCGGGGTGCGGCCTTTACGCTACAACAACAAAATTCAGCGGTCAAAACAGCACGTCCATTTGAACATATGGGACTAGGATGACTAGACAATGGTACAGGACAATTCTAGAATAACTCCACACAACTTACAAACAATTTTATGATGGTAATTTCCATTTCATGTTCATTATCTATTTCCTTGATTTCTTACTTTTGTCTTTACTTCTCTTTTTAATTGTGTGTTTAAATTTCAATGTATACTGTGTATCCTACATGTAAATATGTTGTCAATGTACAATGTTTTTCAATGTATTTTTTTTTAATGGACTTGAATAAAATCAAATTGAAAAAAAAAAAAATTGAATTGATGGTAGGGGTATTGTAGGATACCAAATCTGAGTGCGAAACAGTACTAGCTTAAAAATTGATGAAGATCTGCTAAATTACGATAATTTTTTAGGTAAACTTCCTGTAAGTTTATAAAATGATTGATAATTTTGGTATTAGTTTGTAGGAAAAGTAGTGTTCTATAAGAAAATTACAATCATCAGGTTTCTGTATGCATGCAAAGCACCCTCTAGTGTCCAATGAATGTGCTAATCTGCCTAAAAATCGATGAAGATTTGCTAAATTACAATTTTTTTTAGGTAAACTTCCTGTACGTTTATAAAATGATTGATAATTTTGGTATTAGTTTGTAGGAATAATAGTGTTCTATAAGAAAATTACAATCATTTTGTTTGGTCCGTTTTTATTTCCCTTTCCTTTTTTCCCCTCTACGAAATGTCAAAGTTGGGGGTGCGGCCTATGCGGCGCTGCGGCCTTATCGCCGGCAAATACGGTAAATATAATATATGAATCATTATTTTTTGTATTCCTCTTCTTGTTTTTGCACCCTGATTGAAGCATGAGTTATAAAACAGCTATACGACACATTGGAGTTTCAGACAACTTTCCTATTTGTTCCAACGCACAAAATGACAAAAAAGTGAAGTCTTCAAAACATTTTGAGTCTGGAGGATCTATTCTCGTTAGACGACCTATAATTTCCTATCCATACTATATTTTACGTAGCGCCCCGATTAAGGGTGAATACACTCTCGAGATAAAAACAGAATTTAATGATATTTTGGTACATGACAAACACAAGTTATCCACCACTACATCACCATCCACTGACTAAACTACATATTTAAAGATAAACTTGAGTTCTGGTAAAAAAAGAAAATGAATTCTCACAGAATCTAACAAAACTTACACTGAATGTTCAAGATTACAAATAAATGTCATGTGCCAAACAATTTTGGAAGAAAATGTATACTGGCTGAGTAATGAGCATAGAAAGATAAGGAAATCAGGGTAGTACTAGCCCCGACACCATGTGTGTTGTCCCATATACATCTTTCTGTGTAAGTGATTGTTACTTTACCAAGACTCTGACAAATTTATGATGATTTTGATGACTCCAGAACCTTGCATTACACACCATTACTTACATGCTATATGAACAACTTTTCTGATCCATTCCACACCTTTTCTTTCACAATGCAATCGCATTACCAGAACTCAAGTTTATCTTTAAGATTTGCATCGACCTAGTGAGCTCATATTTCAACATTCATTACTCTTTTATTATTGGTCCGATTTAATTCAAAGTTTCGCCCCTCTGTTCATATAATTTGTTCTGCTTTCATATACTTGAATTTATAACAAGGATTGGAATGCTCTTGAAAAAGAAATAACACATTGTCTACTGGAATAGCAAGGATCCAGTATTAAGCCTGTGGGGGTGAGAGAATTCAGTCATCATCTGAATAACAATGGGCCGTCGACTCACCTGTGTTTTGGCTTCTTCGTCATCCTTAGTCTCTTCTGGTGACCGCTTGTAGCCAGCTTTCCAAGCCTTGTCTGATGTGGCTAGCTTGGAATCATTTGTATCTCTGGCTCTGGAGATGACCTTGAGGGGCTCTCGCGATGATCGCCTGCCCGGATTGGTTTGGTAGTTGGGTTGCTTGCCCTGGGGTGGAAAGAGCATGAAGCATCAATGACATTACAAAGTCAAACAGGGGGGCGTTTCACAAAACTTGTCATCAGTGACAAATGACAGTTTTTGTTATAAGCTACTGAAATCCTTGCTTCTGATTGGTTATCAACAGATTTGTCACTGATTTTGGTCATTTATCATTGAAAAAAGGCTTTGTGAAACGGGTCCCAGGTGCAATTCGACAACTCTTTGAATGGGTACAAGCTGCATGGAAATGTGCTGCACAAGACAGACGTGCAATGTTAAGGATGCATAGTAGTCGACTCTCATGGGGAGTTTGACACCTTTCAATTGTTTACCCTATAACAGGCGTTGTCAATCACCAGGATTAGTTTTATGACCAAATTGCCTTGTGTATTTCCTCATCCATTCCTCCACAAGGTACAGTCATATCTCACTTTTCCCTCACCCGAAGACTCTCCGAGGGAGACGAAAGGGTATTTCTTGATGGACCTACGGGATTGCTGTGTGCAGACTTGTAAACACATTAATTGTATTTCCATCAAGTCTGGTGTCAGCGAATTATGGCCTTCTGCACATGGAAACTGATGACCCACATCCTTTAATAATTGCTCAGCTGCAGGTCCTATTCTACACCAAATTGCATTGAATTTCAAAAGGCATTCTACTTCATACAACTTTCATTCAAATAAATAATGATCTTGCCTTTGTTTTTGGATACCTGATAATCAGAAACTAGAATTTGGCATAAACTTGCTAAGGAAACCACTCTTTCTAATGTACCAGTGTAGTTATGTACAAGACACAATTCATAACGATGGTGTAACTGCTTCATGTGAGGTAGATGGTAAAGTTTGTTATTTACCTGTACTCTCGGTGACTTCATGAAGGATGGCATAAAGTCTGTGTTCTTCTGGTTTCCACCTTGGTTTACGTTCAGACTCATTGACTGAACAACAACGGCCTGGGTGAGAAATTAAGAGGCAAAATATTACTTTCAAATAATTATTTGTTTTAATAGTAACAAAACACATAGTCATCTCTACATTTTGGAATCACTGGTGGTCTCAAAGTGCTTAATACCCCCCCCCCCCCCCACATGTCTATTGGAAACATATTTATGTTACAAAAATAATGAAATTTCAATAGTTTCCAAACGAGAAATTATGTGCAAGGACAGTGGGAGCATGTTGAAAACGTTAGAAAGGATGGGTACAATAATGGAATCATATATTAAATGTGAGACATAGATAGGACACTACCTGAACAGTTCATAGCAAAGTCACTGGTACAATATACAAATAATATGTACAAAGAGAGAGAGAGAGAGAGCTATAATATCAGATTCATCAATATCAATAACAGCAATACATGCAAGCTACAAAGAAATTCTAAGATGATTTTATCTAAGGCTTGGAATAAATGAGAGTTGAGAGGTACCCCTGCCATGTATACAGACAGAGGATGATGGACTGACTCACTCTGTCCAGAACAATGTCAGGAATGTTTGGAAGCCCATCTGGTTTATCCGTGCATCCCTTCTGGAACTGCAGGAGAAAGTCACGGTCGTATTGTTTCTTGCCCTCTGGATTGACTGGGCTCCACTGGTCTGTAGGTGCAAACGACATTGAAAAATGACATCAACGCTACTTACTCACTGCCTTTGTCTACGTTCAGTTAATTGTACATTGGCTTTGGCCACAAAACAATAACTACAGGGGGGTGTCTCACAAAGATCCGAAGTTGAACTTATCTTTAAGTTGGACTTAAATATTATGGAGAGCTGATAGTATCTTTGAAACTATTTTGTAAAACGTATTTTAAAAGACATAAAATGTTGATTCAAATCATTTATATTTTGTTTTATTATCATAGAGATTTCATTTCTTGAAGTGGAATTTATTAAAAGTCTAAAATACTTTGAAGGCTACATTTGAAAATATTTAATTTGAAGGCTACAAATGGCTCTCCATAATGTTCAAGTCCAACTTAGAGTTAAGTTTGACTTAGGATCTTTGTGAAACACTCCCGGAGTGTGATCATAGTCTAAAATATGCAATGTAATAAATATGAGAATAGCCCATGCTACCAAATACTGGTTGTACACCACATGCTCCTAGAGGACGATTGTTTCACGGCCGATACACATCACCAACAGAATTCTTGATTTCAACCCTCGACAAAACAAAACACCTTACCCCAGCCTTCTAAAACCTAATGGCAACCTTCCCCCTGAACTTCTGATGGAATATCTGGAGTAGCTGTGACCCATTGGTCCACTCTCAAATCAAATTATTAATTTTTTATCTCATATTTCTTACTACTTTATCTCGACAGAGTGTTCCGAATGATAAGTATGATAATGCCTCCGGCTACTTTGTAGAGGAGGCAGGAATTAATTCTTTGAAATGCTAGAGCGCTGAAATGGCAGCACAGCTAAAGCTGGGGTAATAATCTCCAAGTTTGGAAGCGCTTAGTGATTCTAATAAGCGCTATATAAAAATTGAGTATTATTATTATTATTATTATAAAAAGCTATTTTTGTAAAATTTGGGTAGTATGTGCATTGTGCATTTCATGTGGCAACTACTTAATCAAATTATATCTCAGAGTTGGAAGTACTTGGGCTGATTCTTTTCAGTTTTCTTTACTCATGAGAACTGATGGAAATCTGGACATGACCACTACACACTTCCAATCAACTTTGCATTGTTTTTGTGTTGCATGACTTGTTGGGAAACAGATTAACACCGCACATAATCACATAAATTCCCATTCAGCTACAGGCAGCAAATTGTTTAAAAGACCTACCACAGTTAAATGATGTTTCAATGACCACTGAATAGTACAAACTGGCCATTGGCATTGTTGGCATTAAATACCTCCTCTGTATGTCCTTTCTCATGTTATGTCATGCTGAAGCTGTTTTTCGCTTTGCATTTTTTGGTGGCAGTTCACATCCTCAAGACTGCATGGGACTTACTATATCTTTATAAAAATTGTTTTAAAGGAAACCAAAACCTTCATACTAAGTTACTTTTATTGTAAAGATTAAGATATTTGAATAAAATCAGTGAATATTTGAACAAAATCGGGCAAGGAATAAGGAAGTTAGAGCTTTTTGAAATGATTAGCACTAGAGGTTGATATTTAATTTGATGACATCATCTGTGGACAACTCTCCATGCCTTTTGTACATCAAATTTCATGTTTTTCCTTCTTTCTTGTGATTGAGATAATCTACTCCCTTGAAAGCAAGGTATAGAATGCAAAATGATATTCTACTTCACGTTATGAACTCGGATCAAGAACACAAATAAATACGAAGAAAATTAAAGAACAGTGAAATTTGATGTATAAAAGGCATGGAGAGTTGTCCACAGATGTCATCAAATTAAACATCGCCCTCTAGTGACTAGGCATTTCAAAAAGCTCTAACTTCCTTATTCCTTGCCCGATTTTGTTCAAATTTTCACTGATTATATTCAAATATCTTAAACTTTACAATAAAAGTAACTTAGTATGAAGATTTAGGTTCCCTTTAATATCTTTCTCTTTCTATAAAAAAATAAGCGTCGTAGGATTAGATTTAGGAAAATGGAAAAAGATGTCGTCTCCTTGTGATGACCTGTAGCAAGCTTTGCCGACATCCTAATGATACATGCTACACCGTTAACATTGGATTCAAAGTCATGTCAACAGACCTTTTAACTTATGTATTTTTCTTTTGGTATATCAAGGTTTCAGTGACACAAAGACATAACTCCATATTTTGCCAAAATGAGTATTCAATTTCAAAATGTTCAGAAAAATGTGGGCTTTCCAGGAAACACAAAGACTTAACTCCACCCCATTGAAGTCAATGGCTAGTGAAACATAGACTAACTCCTCAAGGCACAAGTGCTCAGTGCCACATAAACCACTTTTTCTCAAAATGGCCAAACTTGAGCTACGTCTTTGTGTCACTGACGGTGACCCCTCGATATGTTCTTGACATTAAATTTTTCCAAAAATTTGTTGATTACACTCATCAAAATATATATGTATTATTCTTTCACTTCCATCACAATTCATAAGAAGTCCTTGCAAAGATCATGCAATTCCTCTCCATGAATCAATCTCCTCAACATCGGTTTCCAAATTACCTTCCCTGTAGGCATACTTCAATTGCATCTTATTGTCCTTAGGATTTGGCTTTCCTTCCTTGTTTTTCGAGTTCTCAGACTCCACATTGTCTGCCTCATTCACGTTCTCCCTGTCCTCCGTTGCGTCAAAGCGATCCGACTTCTCCTCCGTGCCCTGCTTGGCTGGGGCGGCGGGGGTGGTATCCGGCACTACTGCTACCTCCGTTTGCTTCTCGCTCACCGTCACAGACTCTACCTCACTTTTCCTCTTGGCCACATCGCTCTGAGGTGCATCATCAGTCTTTTCCGTGGACCGCTTGTCCTCCTGTGGCTGAGTTGTTGTTTCTTTTGGTTTCTTTGATGAACTAACGTCTTGCACCATTTCTTTTGCGGGTTCCTTCGAGACTTGAGCTTCTGGTTCGAGTTTGACATTTTCTTCTTTTCCAGGATTCTCTTGGCTTGGGGTGGGTTCCTTTAAAAAAAAAAAGAAGAATTTTATATACTTTGTATCGGAATCACATAGAAGGCAAATCTTGGTAATTTTGTAACAATAACAATATTTTATAATGTGATTTACTATTGTGGAAGTACCACATATTAGTTTATATATTATATCATTCATTTGTAAATTTTTATTTAAAATGTGTTACTCTTTTATCAAAATTGAAAAATATCTCAAAATTTCATTCCATAATGCTTGGAATCGATCAATCTCATACAGCATACAGGGACCCGTTTCAAAAAGACTTTTAAAAAATGACAAATGACAAAAATCAGTGACAAATCTGCGGGTAACCAATCTACTAAAAATGCACTGTGATATGTCCCTCCACCCCATACACCTTTGCCTGTATCAAAGCTGTGCTTCACAAGACAAGAACGACAAGAAACAAATCACTGATATAAGCAACTGAAATCCTTGCTTCAGATTTGATAATTTGTCCCAGAATAATAAAGACTGTTGTTATTCACATCACGTTACATGGAAACATTAACCCAACAAAAGGTCGATCTTATTATAACCATTCTCACCTGGACATCGTCCGTCTTGTATGCATCAAATTCATCTGAACCTTTTGTTGTCTTCTTGTCCAGTTCTTGGAACCTCTTCTTTTGACTCTTCTTCTTAATGTCTTTACCTACAACAAAAGCGGACATACACAGAATCAAAATTGTTGTTATAACTTTCCAAGCTATTAAACACAGGGAATACAGGAACTAAACCCAATGGTAAAGGCAGAAACGTGCAGAATAAAGACCGCTATCTAAACACCACTGTCCCCTCCCTCTCCCCTAAGAAAAATGGTTATAATATTCATCATTGTTAGTTTGCTAAAAATTCAAATTGACATAAACATTGCTTTATCATCATTACATCACAGGAAAAAGTCAAGAGATTCATATTTTCACAACTGCTTTCTGTTTGATGCAAGGATGGACAGAAGAAATGAAATAAACACCATGAGATGAGATTTTTTTTAAATCTTACTTTCTTGAGGGGTAGCAGTGGCCTCCTGGCTCTCTGGCTGAGGAACTGCAGGTGCTGGCATTGCCTGTTGCACTGCTGGATTATTTGCACTTGTTTGTTTGGAGCTATCATCCACTTGTTTAGGGTTTGATTCTGCCGTCGGTTGTACCGGTGCGGGCACTGCAGCACCAGCAGGAGCATCCGGTTGTTCTGGTGGGGATGCCTTCTCTGCAGCGGATGCAATGTTTGCACTGGCAAGTTCATGTTTGGATGGTGCTGCTGCTGCTTCTTGGACAGAAGCAGCTTGCACAATGGCTGGGGGACCTGCTGGAGGAGTAGCAGCAGCTGCTGGCACTGGGGCGGGATTCTGAGGGGGTGGAACAGCCGCTGCGACAGGCATTGCTTCAGTCGGCACCTGCTGCATCTGCACAGGAGCTTTGCTAGGTACAGGTGCTGGTACTGCTGCCGCTGTCTGCGGGACAGGCCTCTGGGGCTGGACAGCCTCTGCCACAGGTGTCGCAGCCACTACCGTGTTCTGTACTCCTTCTGGCACTGTTGGCTCTGCTGGCCGACTTGGAAGCTGTGCCACCACCGGTGCAGCACCCGGGGCAGGAACCTGGCCAGCTACCACAGGAACAGGCTGCTCTCCAGGCCCAACAGGCATGACTTGCACCTGTTGCCCTGGTGGCTGCATTGCTAGTTGCTGTGGTATAGGTTGTGGCATAGGTTGTGGTACTGGTGGCTGTTGTTGAGGTGGCTGCTGTTGCTGAGTCTGTGGTTGTTGAGGTGCTGGCTGTGGAGGTACTCTGTGGGGTTGTGATAGATCAGACTCTGGGAGATCACTAGCGACCATTGCAACTTTAGATGCAAATTGGGCCTGTATCCTCTTTGCATCCTCACTTGAAGTTGACTGGAAAAAGAGTGATTAAAATATTCATAAATCACTTGAAAATGTAGAATTCAACCGATATAAATTGAATATATTCAAATATCAATACAAATTAGGCTTATGGTCTATTCCATAACACTGACATACACTGAGTAACTAAATAACTAAATCCAGTGTACTCGTTTACAAGGCTTACAAGGTGGGGTCGGAAATACATGGGGGTTTACATTTAAATTTCACAGATATACGTGACATATTCATAATTCCTGCAAAGTTTTACAGAATTTGATGTTGGCTGCCAAAGGGATACACTACCTTTAACACCATTGTTCAATATATGGGTTCCCTCGAAAAAGAAACCAATTCTTACCACTGGTGGAGTGACATTTGCACTTGAACGACCTGAATGAGGAGAGCTAGATCTGGACGTATCACGCAGTATCGTGTCTGTCACGTCTTGCATTGTGGAGGGGTCCTGTATGCGTATAATGCTCTTCTTAGTCCTCTCTCGAGGCTCTGCTCTGGTGGGGGTAGGAGCTTGTGTGGTTAACGGCTGCCTGGGAGCAGTTTGTGTCGGATTCAACCATACTGAGAAATAAGACAAACAATGGAGATGCAATTAAATACACCAAGGTGAAACACTTCTCAAACAAAGCATGTATAAACATCATGGTAACAAATAGTTTCATCTTATATTTTTGAAAGTACAGAAGATTATCTTTGCAAATTGTTAAATACAGATTGAACATGAACATTCTCAAATTCTCCTCTGGTTTACAACAGTGCAGTATATAACAAAGAATAAGGTGTGACATTGTTTGGTTCTACACTTTTTTGAAGTGGGGCTGTAGCATGATGAAACTACGTGTCTTTCCCGTGGCCTAATTGAGGGCCAATCTGGTATAATACGACTACGGACAACGCGACCACAGTAGGCCTACTTATTCACGTGCATGCAACATCAGCGAAACCTAAGCGTGAGGAGAACTTTAGTTTGTTTTGCGAACGCTGGCGCACGCTGACCCAGTCAATCAGGTCCATTAGTTTACTTGCAGTTGTCCAAAAGAAGACATAGATGGCGTCAACCAGTATTTCCCATGCTACAGCCCGTTTAATATAACCTAGCTTAGAAGAGTAAAGACAAAAATTTGCTTTAGCTTAGATGCGTCATTGTAAAGAATCATGGCAGGAATCAAGTTTCTACAAAAATACTGTTTCCATGTTCATGGGAGAAGTGGGCTGGATGGTAACCGCCCAATGTCACCCCTTCCCTTCCATGAGGGCTAAAAAGTTCATATTCCGTTTAATCACTTCAACAAACAGATTTTGTTAAACTAACCTTGTTGTTGTGGAGATGTGCTGTAGTATTGAGCTTGGGTCGGCTGATATACCTGTTGTTGATATGGTTGTTGAAACGATCTGTGTGCTGCTGCCATCGGATGCTAATGGAAAAGCATATATCAAGATTACTTTTTTTAATGTAGGATTTTAAGAGTTTCATTAAAGGTACTATGTCCCATTTGCAGGCCAAAAAAATGAAAAAGTTAAAATTCCAACTGCATTTAAAAAAAAATACTAATTTAGAACTTCCCTAAAAAGGTGGGGCTTGAAAATGTCTTCAAGTGGGAAAATAACGACTATTAGTTGTCAAATTGATTTTAGGGCTATAGAGCCCAAAAGTAATAGTCTTGATTTTCAGACAATTGTACCGAATGGTCATACGTTTTATGCTGCGCAAAGATTCAATCAGTTTAATCTTGGCCATCACAAGAAGTGGGTTATTGATGTAGACAAATGCTCATGTACCCTTTACAACTCTTTTCATGTATGTTATTACCAAAGAAGAAAAAAAAATCCAGTCAGTCACTCAATAGTGTCTGACAGTGAAGTCTAGCAAGTTAACGGGTTTCCTTGCATAATTTGAATATGAGGACACTGCTAACGTTTAAATTCAACAGATAGGACATACATGACATATTCATAATTCCTGCAAAGTTCTACATAATTTAAGGTTGGCTGCAAAAGGGACATAGTACCTTTAAGAGATCTCATATTTCAAATTTTAATTCACGTACATCTTTTTTTGGTCCGATTTATTTCAAAGGGTTGGATTGTCCTTTAATTAAATAGTCAGATTTTAAGACCCTTGTACTGAATGGTCCTACGTTTTTTTGTGCTGCGCAAAGATTAAATCAGCTTAATTTTGGCCATTACAAGAAGTCGATTATTGATGTGGACAAATACTCAAAGAAAAAAAGATGCCAGTCGGTCACTCAATAGAGTCTGACAGTGAAGTCTAGTAAGTAAACAGGTTTCCTCGCATAATTTGAATACTAGGACACTGCTAACGTTTATATTTCACAGATAGAACATACCTGACATTCAGAATTCCCGCAAAGTTCTATAGAATTTGATGTTGGCTGCAAAAGAGATACACTACCACCAGTTGTGAAATGGGCATTGCCCTTGTTGTGATGTGCTATCTCCAAATATCATAGAATTTACACTAAATACGTTAGCCTGTATTCTCATTAAATTCAAACTTGACGCTTGGTTGAAGCTGTTGTCCAAAATCGGGTATAACGACACGACCTTAGACCTAGGGTTAGGTTTAACTGAATTAATACAAGACAGCCCATTGACGTTCTTTTATTCAAACTAGGAATGAACGAGGGTATGACTTACCGCTGGCACTCCGATAATATACTGTGGATTGCCTTGCTGCATGTACTGTCCTGACGCTACAGCGGCGGCAGCATTGGTTTGCATAATCTGCGCTGTGTTGGCGCCTTGCTGGGTGGCCGGAGGGTGCTGTTGCATCCCTGGCTGCTGCATGCCCTGCATCTGAGCTTGGCTCTGGTGACGCACCGAATACACAGGCTGTGGTATTTGTTGCTGGAATGCAAGCAAGGAATTGAACAGGGTTAGACATTGGATTGGGTTACAGGTGCTCATAGTTTAAAGCCACAAATCAGTCAGTGTCCATGTGTGTTGTATCATGATTCACTTACACACCAGGGGTGCAGGGAGCACGAACAAAAAAGGGTTCTTTTTTCCTCAACCCCTCCCCCCCCCCCCCCCCCTTGAGTAAAAAAAAAAAGGATTCGGGGGGAAAAAATGGCATCTAACAAAATCCCCCCCCCCCTCCCCCCTCTTTAGAGTAAGAAAATTGGGGGAAAATTGGGTTATTATCAGGCCTGACACACATGTCTTGGCAGCGAACATGTTGTCCCACCAGAAAATAAATCAGCTGGCCTTCATATTTCGAGGGTGAGGAAAGTTTGCATTACACAAGACCCGTCATTCTGGCTCAATCAGTTCAATTTTGATAATTTTGTAGTAATACTATATTTTTTTTCACTCTATAAATGACCCTGTGATCTTTCACCTTTGATCTTGTACACCTAAATTCTAATCAGTTCATCGTTCCATTTCATTCCATTTCGTTTATTTCCATTTCCAACAAAATAAATAAAGTACATGGAATTGCATTGTACATAGTAAAACAATGAAACTTAACAACATATTTGTAATTGGTCCACAGTGTACAATAGGCATATAAAACAGGTTGGTCATACCCATTGCATACACACTTGAGTCAAATCGAGCTTGAATTTCTTTGGCGCTTTTAAAATTATAGCAGTAATGAGATGTTTCGGGGTATTTTTAAACAACCACTCATACACCTAAAATCTGATTGCATCATCCTTGCATGCTCATACATTACAAATTTAAAAAATAATTAAATACAAGTAAACATTAAAAGAGAAATAAAAATAAAGAAATATATTTTGAGGGCTGAATCTCTCTCGGATCATTTGGTTGTTTTTACCTGGTATCCTCGCGGCAGTGCTTGCCGAGCCCCCTGCTGGAAGCGCACTTGACCCATGTTCATCATGGGGGGTGCGCCAGGGTTGGCCTGGTTTGGTAGAATCCCCTGCTGCTGGGGTGACGCGGCCATGGCAGGCCGGCTCGGAGCCCCTTGCTTGTTCATGTCATGGGTGAGTGTATTGACAGCCACTGGGCTGACCGAAGGGGATGGAATACGTGGGCTCTGCGACGGTACAGGGTGTTGGGGCCGTGGTGCCTGGAGAAGAGAGACAAACATGTGCAAAGTAATCATTATCATTTTGTCCATGTGAACTTTAACTGGGTGGTTCATGCTGGAATTGCAGGAGCCCGTTTCCCCGAGCCCCCCCCCCCCTCGCGGCTGACTTAGGACTTTAGCTTTACATTGTTTTATACTATCGTATAAATTATTGCTGCTGTGTTTTATTTTTTTTGTTTTGTTTTTTAGTTTTTTCTTTTTGTTGTAACTGTAATTTCTCCTATGATTGTTTGTAAAAATGTGATTATGAATGATCAATAAAAAAAAATTAAAAAAACTTTAACCATTACTTACTAGAAGCATATAAGTCTTTGGTTAAAGCCCCACTGTCCTACTAGTAGCTACTTGCTCCCTCTATATAGAAAACTTCCCCAGTCGGTGCCTGTTGGTTCCCCATGATCCTCTTTTCCTTATGTTAGTTGAGAGCTGAGTTAATGAGATAGCCACCTGTCAGTGACCTCTCTGTGTGGTCTAATCCCTACTGGCCCAGTAGTATTGACAGTCTTTAAAAGAATTTTTTTTTGAAAGTGCCATTCCTAAAGTGCCTAATACAATTTTTTCTTTGAGATAAAACATTATCTGCCAAGTGTTCACGTGATTTTATTTGTATTTACTAGGTTTGAGAGCTGAGGAGAGAATATCCAACAATGCAAAAATGCACATTCACACAAACAAAATCCTATTGTTTTTGTCTCAGCATGAACCTGTACTCCTGAGGGTCGACTATGAATGGGTCTAAAATAAGAGGCTTTAAATTGTGTCTAGAAAAACAAAAAAAATGAATTGTGTCTAGAAAAACAAAACATAACCACACCAAAAAAAAATGAGAGTTGAAAATCCACAATAATCTTAATCCTACACGTAGATAGGTGGCCTAAGTTGAACAAAATGTTCAAAGATTGTCTCTTCTCTGCTACTTCTGACATCACATGTGAACTTTCTTGCTTACAAATGTCTCTGAATGAAACTGAGCATAATACCGGTGTGTTGGCTCAGTCAGTAGAGCATCAGCCTTACGACCGGGAGGTCGTGGGTTCAAACCCTGGACGTTAAGACGTTAAAAGACGGGAGTTGCTGCTACCTTGTTTGGCGTTCAACAATAAGGGATAGAGCATCGTTGATCTGGCGCTGCTCAGTGGCTGCCGGGCTCACAATCAATTGGGCAAAAAGAATTCCCATTTTCAGTTTAACTTATTAAAATTTGGAGTGGACTTTAAAAGATTATTATTATTATTAATATCATTATCATTAATATGTACAGAAACCAGGAAAATGGATGCCTACCTGTTGTGGCATGAACCTCGGTTGTGGACGAGTCCCTATTTCGTCCGGCCTCGGTTGCTGAGGATAGCGGATCCTTCTAACACAATATGAAGTTAAGGAAACATTATAGTGCAATCTTCAGCCAAAAATAGGCCTCATGTTATGACTCAATAGAGATATTACTCATTGTTATTACCGTATTTGCCGGCGTAAAGGCCGCACCGCCGTATAGGCTGCACCCCCAACTTTGACATTTCGTAGAGGAAAAAAAAAAACTACAACAAAAAAAAAAAAAAAGAGAAAAAAAAAAAGAAAAAAAAAAAAAAAAAAACGGACCAAACAAAATGATCGTAATTTTCTTGTAGAACACTCTTTTTTTTTTACAAACTATACCAAATTCATCAATATTCTTATAAATCAACAAGAAGTTAACCTCAAAAATGATCATAATTTAGCAGATCTTCATCGACTTTTAAGCTAGTACTGTATCGTACGCAGATTTGGTATCCTACAATACCCCTTCCTCGATGTGCGGTGTAATCCGAAATAGCATTTTCGACCTGCGCAGTTGCGTTGCGCGGCAGCTAGCTCCGTAAGTAACGGCCTGTCCCTTTGTTTACTTTTTGGCGATGCAATGGTATGGACTTAGATCTAGATCTATCGGCAGATTTTATTAGAAAAATAAGTTTTTTCGTCTTCATGTCAACTATGCAACATAAACTTGTCGGTAAGTTATTCTAGAATTGTCCTGTACCGTTGTCTAGTCATGCTACCGTTCCTATAGTCCCATACGTGCAAATGGACGTGATGTTTTGACCGCTGAATTTTGTTGTTGTTGCGTATACGCCGCACCCCGACTTTTTGATTTTTTCTCACCCGAAAATACTGCGGCCTTTACGCCGGAAAATACGGTAGGTTTATTGCTAAAGATAGCCCATTGTGTACATGTAGTCTCTCTACAATGAGATCATTACACACAAGGCATGGAAGCAGAAATCAGCAGCAGCCCCCCCCCCCCCCTCAAACAAACCAAACACACACAAAAATAAAAAGTAAAACAAAGTGAAACAAATTTAAACAAATAAAAAAGAAACTTAACATTAAATTATTGAGTGAATATTGAAAATCAAGTATAATCCATTGTTATATTGAACACAGTAACTCTTTATTTGTCTCAGAAACATACACTTAGAAGTACATAAAAATTACTTATTATTAGCTCATTATTACATAATTGTATGAAATTGTAATTCATGAGAGACCAACTGTACATCTTGACATCAAGATTGACCATTAAAAAATGTTAAGGTTGATTTGATTTAATCATTTTGTACACTCTGTGGCTGAGCTACATGTAGAAGGTGTTTTTGGCAGGCCGTTCATGCTCGCACCATTTACTGGCATTGGTCTATCAAGGGACGTGCAAATCATGGTCACAAATCTACAGAATTAATATTTTTGATAATTAATTATTGAAGGAAGACATTATCTAAAGCTCATAATGGTGAGAGTAACCAGTGGCATGAATGGCCGTATAGTTAAGTCCAACTTAAAGTCAGGGGAAAAAATACACGGGGGCTTGGGGCAAATTCACCCCTCAAAATTTGCATAGAGTTCCATGCAAAACAAATTAAATAGTGCTATTTTCATGCAAGCAGGCTTGAAAAGTGGTCCCTGAAATGTTTAAAATATTTCTTCTTCCCCTGCTTAAAGTTGATCTTAGTCTTTGTGAAACACCCCTATATTGCACAGGAAAAGGGAGAGCAGGTGCCCCTTGGAAGCTCTGCTGAGACGCACTGTATTATGAATAGATGGGCATGAACAACCTCTCCAGGAATGTGTGCTTACATTTACTCCCGGCTATGTTTAGAATCCCCATGGCTAGTCTAAACATTCAGACCTGGCAGGCTGCATTAATTTGATCATTTATGTAATTCAGAAAAAAAATAAAAAAATGTCAGGTTTTGTTCACTTCACTAGCACTTGAAAGGATCTATATTCAAATATAATTTGGAAAAATAGCAACAGAAAAAAAAGAATCCAAAGTAAAAGGTTGTGAACAGTGATGTTATTTCTATATTAATACTACGCAACTTTAAAAAACAAACAAACAAAAAACAACATGAGTCAAATATCTGTTCTACTAAAGAACACAATGCACACTGATCTACCAAATGCATATTTCTCAAATTGTTTGCCAATAAAAGCTGGTATACTACAATAAACCTTCCTCACATGAAATTGCTTGTGATTTCTCACTTGAGCATACAAAAAGCATCTTCAATTAACCATAACCAATGAAATTATGGTGGACCAATCTCATTCATACAGCACTTGGGAAAAACTTCAGCAATACAAGCATTGTGTGCATGTAAGCATACAAAAACATGCACTCAGGGAAACTGTGCACAACAGCCATAAGAATAATGCAGAGTCATTTCCAGTGTGCATGTTCAATGACTGCACATATTTGCCTACTGACTGTAAGAGCAAACATAAACGGTGCTATTTCTAGTACGCACAGTGACAGGTACCAGTTGATACAGCCAGGATATGCATAGAATATGTGTATAGAAATATGGAGCCCATTTCAAGCTGCTAACATGCCAGTGACCTCAAAAGCACCCATAAGGCCTGTTTTCATCAGCTCAACTTTGCCAAATAGCTTGCTATTTCTGATTTAGGAAATAATCCTGAAGTTATAAATCGCGTCTTCATCAGATCGAGACTTGCCTCGAAACTTGAAACTCAAGCTTGAGAAATTCGCTCAATATATTTTGCACAGCATTCGTGCGTAGTGCGAGTCTTCGGGCTGGTGAAAACGCACCAGACAGATAGCGGGATATTTTGCAAACTAGCCCAAAATATCTTGAGATGAAATATCCTGCTAATTGCAACTTCGGGCTGATGAATTCGCAAATTAACTAGATAATTTTTGATCAGGATAGTTCAAATAGCGGGATATTTGGCAATCTGGAGCTGATATAAAGAATAAACAGGCCTTTGGAGGACGTAACATTTACTCTCAAGTTTTGTAAAAAGAGAAAGACCGAAGATAACTTCTTGGTCAAATGATTCTCCTACATTGCTGTTGCTATATTTGAGGGGTCAATGACACTTGCATGAATCCCTTTGTGATAGATGATGAAAGCAAGAGACATTGTTCACTGGGCAGACACAGACACCCACAAGGCATGGACCAGTCATTTAGCAAAAAAAAGCATTACGTGTTGTCAACCAAATGCAGGCATATCATTTACACACTGACTCATCCAAATCAGCTGAACAATAAAAACATTAACAAATTGACCAGGTCAATGGTCAATTTACCCCTATTTAACCTCGACACAACTTCTACAATTCATTTCAAATTTCTAAGGATTTATTCCTCATGGAAAGTATAATAAAGAGAATATTTATGGGAAATTTGATAATAGAAATTATTTTTGTGCCCCCCCCCCCCTCCAATCTAGAATTATTTTCTAAAGCAAATGTTGTGAAAATAAAATATCAAAACATTTGAATTTAAGCAACAATACATGATATCTGTCCAGCTCCATATGATCCTCAATTACATGGCCCCTTAACTAAACAATATGTCATGGAGAGTCTACATGTATTACCTGGCCAGATGAAAGATGGCTTAAAGAAGACATGGCATGCTAATTATGTTGGCTAATGTCTTGTCATCAACATATGTCTTTCTAAGATTTTAACTTCCAATAAACAGGCACATGTAAGAGAGAGAGAGAGAGAGAGAGAGAGAGAGAGAAAGAGAGAGAGAAAGAGAGAGAGAAAGAGAGAGAGAGAGAGAGAGAAAGAGAGAGAGAAAGAGAGAGAGAGAGAAACACACACTAACACACACGACAAAGATAGAGAGAGACAGAGAGACAGACACAGGAATAGAGATATAGAGAAATTCAGTTTAGATTACTATGCGTACATCAACGTTGCTTCAGTAAGAGGCTGGTGGCACTCAAGGTAACCCCTGCTTGGAGGTAATTTAGTATGCACGAGCAATCCGGCGGGTTGTTAATATATGTTACCAGTCTACTAGCTAGGCACACTCATACTACAGGAAATGCATGGATTATGCAGTGCTCAACGGAGCATCACACTGCCACATGTGCCAAGATCAGAGACGTACATGTATAGAACTCCCATATGGCTACTCTGAATTTGTAATGCATACATTTAACTGCATGTCATTAGACCAGCATTTTTGAAGATCCACATGCAGTTCTTGTCAAAATGTCTCAAGTGAACCAGTCAGAAACCCTCTCAGTCTCAGGATTCTGCAATACGCTTTGAGTGATTATGTATACAGATTTGAATTCTCACTTTTCTGTTTGTATTTCTTATTTAGTTTCATAGTCATGATTAAATTGGCCTTGAACCTTACTTTGCTTTTGAAATCCATTGCACAAATATTTTCAGAAAAAGGCTTTCAGGCATTAATCCATCAAATGGGGGAAACTGCTTGCACCATACATGCATATCATTGGACTCATGCCACTACTGTCCGTAGTCCTACATGACCTACAAAAATCGAACACATTGAAGGTATTTTGCACATCTGGAGACAAACTTGCACTTTGATTGGGAGGTTGTTAATACATGTATGTCACTGTTGACAAGAGCTGTCTTATTTTATATCATAAATTTCACATGTCCTCGAACAGACTTGCTTACATGTTAAAATGCTAGAGCTCAAATTTGTCAATCTTTTCACAAGTATCTTTCAAAAATACTAGGGAGAACATGGGAAAAGTAAAAATATCTTCTCATCCACACACTCCCTTGAAGCCCATTGCTTTTGGGTGAAAATCAGACTTATAGAAGTCAGATGAAGTAATAACGTTTTGTTATCAAATACAGAATCAGGCAATCGTTCATCACCATTACTGTACATGTGATGGTCAGAGAAGGGGTGGGTGTCTCCCCCCCCCCCCCCCTCCTTTCCGAAAATCCCTATATAATCACGTATCAGCATTCTGCCATCGGATCCTTTGGCAGTACCCCTTTTATTTCTGCTACTTGTCAAGTTCTATTTCCTTGATTTCAATGAATTATGCTGCTATAGCTTGTGTGCATCCC